CAAGTTTATTTGAAAAAAGTATTTCTATAATCACTGAAAAACAGTTGTTTCTGGTGAGCGATTCAGGGCCATCATGGCCCTCTTTTTTTAAATATTTGGCATTTTTAGTTGGGTGGCTCAAAAATTCCTACTTGATTTATGTTGAATCACCCTTAAGATATGTTGCCTGCTTTTTAACTTTGTCTTTTAACGTTTTTGTCATTTAGGCCCAGTGGGAAAGGTTGGTTCATTTTAATTCTGCTAAGTGTCCTACTTTTACCTTAAAACTAGTCGACTCATGAGAATCATAAATTATTTGCTCCACTGGCTGAATCGAATCATTTTTAAATGAATGACAATCTTTACGGACATGTTGATATAGAAAGTAGTAAATTGTGTGCGATTTGTCATACGCGGGAGAACGTCCTTTCTGACCAACATACTGTGTGCTACACCCAGGGGTGTTTCAAGTTAAAACATATTTACGTTTTAGTCAAAATCCTCATTTAAAAGTATATTAATTGTCCCCTCATTGACAATAGATGTTATTGTAGACCTTTCCGATAAAAACTACAACATCCGCACCTCTTAGAATTACACTTATTTAAAGAAGGATAAACTCTAGATCTATGTGGATAATTTGTATGAGTGATGTTGTATTTCTAAAGAATGGAATATTCTAAAGGGGATAGCCTAATGAGTAAAGAATTATTATATATTCGGGTTTATTATATACTTACAAATGAAATATTGAGAAATATTGATGAAATAAAATGCGTATTTTCATTTTCCGTATTTTCACTGTAAAAATGTATTTTTCACTGCAGTGAAACATATTTTCCGTATTTTCACTGGTGTCTTGCCGGACTACTTTCTTTTAAATTCTGCCAGTACACAAAATTTAAGGGAAAGTCTTTCAAATTTTAATGTCAAAAATGTATATAATAAACAGAAAATTCAAGTTTTTTCTATAAATACATGGTTTATTTTCATCTTGTGGCATGAAAATTACCATATTTCACTCGTGGCTACCGCCACTCATGAAATATTTATTTTCATACCACTCGATGAAAATAAATCATGTATTTATAGACAAAACTTGAATATCCTCTATTTATGGATCGTGGAATATAAAAAAAAAACTAGCAGATGAAAAATTTAAAGGCAAAAAAACGACAGATGGTGTTCGTGTAGTTATACTGTGATATCTAATCTGTACTGAATTTGAAGACGTAGAGTGTACCCGAAGAGGTGAAAAAATTATTGAAGCTATTTATGAATATTTGAAGACATAAAATGATTCTATGTACAGTGGGGTACTAATAGAAAAAAGTAACGAGACTAAATCTACAGTGCCACAGTGAACACAGAGCCTGCCAAAAGGGTAATATTAAAGAATATTTAGGTGTAATAATAAAGTGGAAATGAATATAAAACATAAGTCCATGAAGACTGGACACAGAGGGACACACCAAAACTGAACGCCGAAAAATCCCTTGAGGTGGAAATATAACAATATTAATTGCATGTACGGGGAGACTTTTACAGTCGCCACACGGCACAAAAAAACACGGTTGTGAGCATAAAATATGACAAACAAGATCAACAAGGAAAGACGACGCAATGGTCGCAACCCTCACAAGACCCCCAGCAACAAGAGCCAGTGGCAAGGAGCCAGAACCAGTGGCAAGGAGCCAAATGCACGAAAAAACTTATCCAAAGGATGAAGGCGACGCATATGCTATGACATGTGAAATAGATCTACCTATTTTCAAGAAATAAAGCTAAAAATGTTTTGTTTTTTTTTCATTTAAAAAATGTTTTCTTTTTCTAACAATAATTTGCAATACTTTCATATAATAACTCCGCTTATAATGAGACCGCTAATCTCGATGCTTTGGCTGCGGTCCCGACTCAGTCTTTAATCGGATATTTGAAGAGGAAGTGCACTGTCCGAGGACAATATGTAATAGAAAGAGCATCGAAATACGAGGCTATCTGATTTGTACGAGGGGGCTTATCCCCCGAATATTAATCAGATTGCAGAGTGTTTTGATGATCTTTCTCTTTTGTATCATAGTCACACATAAAAACACGTTCCCTGTTGTCACATTATGAAACACCAGAAAAAAGCAACCAATGAACGAGCATCTGAATATGATATTTCTATCGCTATCCCTTTCTCTACTGTCACAAAATGTAGCCCCAGCAAAAATGAGCCAATCAATGGGCATGCTCTGGAGTACGGTGTTCCGTTAGGGCCAGCACGGTTTCCCGATGTCGTCCTTAGGGCGAAATCGCGCAAACACGATAACTTGACGCGAAAACACGATGCGATAAAGCGAAAACACGATAAGAGATCGCGAAAACACGATTAAAAAAAATATCGCGTTATCGCGCTATTAATATTGTGCTTTTGCTTTTTCGCCCTCGATCTCCCATCGTGTTTTCGCGTCTTTGCCTTCACAGTCAGTAGGGCGAAAACGCGATATCAATTGCGCGAAAACGCGATATTTTTCACAGCGTGTTTTCACGATCTTGTATCGTGTTTTCGCGTCAATACATCGTGTTTTTGCGATTTTTCCCTGAGGGCGACAGCGCGAAACCACGATGGCCCTAACGGAATTATGTACTGGAAGGCGGGTAACTAATACCTGCACTCCAGTTAACGCACTGTGTATATGTATACAATTTAACTCTGGCACATTTTCAACAGAAAAGTCCCCAAACTATGATACAATATTATTTATTTTCCCCTGAAACCTATTCTCTTTTCTGTTTGTACTTAAAGGATATTTCTGTAAACATGAAAAAAGGATATTTGAGTAAGTTCAATTATTTTGCTTGTCTTTGTTACATATGTGGTAAAGATAAAATGTTTTGTCGTATTTTTTTTTAAATTTATTTGTTCATAAATGTCCAATCAAACATAATTTCTTACGAAAATTATTATTCTCCCAAGATGTTTGAGCGTTCATCTTACAATAATAATCAAATTGTTTAAAATTATTCACAAGGAGTGTTTTTAATTAAAAGAAACTCAATTAGCACAAAATGGAATTGATTGAATTTCTATACGAATTGCAATATCATATTATCTCTATTAAAAACAAGATGTTCGTATCATTCCATATGACTTCATTAATACCGCAAAATCACATTAATTCCAGGTAGTAACTAATTCAAGAAAAATAAAGGACTTTATTTAATATACTTGATCTTTTTTTAAAAATATTGAGATTACAATGTCAATTTGATTATAGAAACAAACTTTCTCAGACTCTTGGACGTAAAGACAAATATGTCATCAACAGCAAAATAACGGTTTATCAGAGCTTTGCCATTTTATAAAAAATTTGGGCCCGATCCAATTTTTTAATTGCTGCAAAGGGGGCATATAAATTTAAAAAGGCTTGGTGGATTGGGGATTTTGGGCAAAACCCATTAAAACCCCATTTAAAAGTATTACTGTCTATAGTAGAAATGAAAGGGAAGAAAATTTTTTATTGTTTGATCGGCGGGTGTCTTTTTCCCCCTGTTTGGTTTTGAAACCTCGCAAGCGTCTTTGGATTCTCTGAGATAGTTTTCCAGCTTACTTACGGAACGCTTTTTCTCAAGTGCCCATTTGTGCCTTAGATAATGCACAGATAGACAACTGAGATATTCCTCGACCAGTAAAGCTGGATATTCGCCATAAGACTTATTTTATGTTGTTGACTCGTTAAACCAAACTAAGAATAAAAATGATCGGCTTTGATAAAATTGTCATTTTGTTGATTTTTAAAACGAGTTGTGTTCAAATATGAATGCATCTGGAACATTTAAGTATCCAGTATTGCCACAATCACTAGGAAATGAAGGTTATAGGATAGATATACAGCATAAGTCAGCTTTATATTGATACCACATTCATTAAAATCTGTTCACTTGAGATGTGTTTATAACTCGCTTTACATTGTCTACAGCGTATATTATAAAACAATATTGGTCTCTTAGAAGATAAGAGTATGCTATTGACAAATGTTCTCTTATTGTGAACCATTGTTACCTTGGCATAAGTTGTGAAAACTCGTTAACTTTGATGATGTCTCTGGTTTAATTTCGAAGATGATTCACATGCCCGTCGGCTTAAAACAGCAATGTCTGTCAGGATGTTCAATTTAATAAACGAAAGTAAATACCGATGCAAAATACACCACAATGCAAGTGGCAAGTATCGTTGGCATCTCATAAGGAACACCTCACATCATTCTAAAACGTATTATAAGAATGAGAATTATCTATGTTAGATTAATAACCAAGTTTCTGACAGATGAGAAATGCGCTATGTTGGTGCTTAAACACTATTCCAATTACAATGTCCGTGACTAGTGCGGCAAATGGGTTCATTTGTATGAACACAACTAGATATGGGTTACAAAGTCTAGCAAAATACCATGCATGGCCAAAATTGACCATCAATATATGTAAATGGTAATGTTTGCCATTTTCTCCACAACAAAGGGTTTCGCCGTTCAGTTATTGTTCTTGAATGCAAATTTGTGTAAAGCAAAATTTTACAAGTCAGATTTTTTTTCAAAAACTAACCAAATACCATCAAAAACGAAGACTTGCAACAGGTTTGGCCAATGTCAGATTGCTGTATGACATCGCGTCTTTGCAAAAGGCGTTATAGTGCAAGACTTCCTTCCTTCCTGAAGCAGAAAAAAGACGTTGTGCCCATCGAACCTCATTATTCACCGAACCTTACCCCTTTTTAATTTTTTTCCAATGCTTAAGAAAACACCTTTCAAAACACAAATACCTCGGTTCTGCAATATTCTAGTGTCTTCATAGTATATTTTTTCATACTTTAAAAGTTGGATCGAGAGACAAAAGAGGTGAGTACTTTTAGGAAACTAGAAAAGCTTAGTGAAACCTATGAAGAATAAACTGCACATGCTCAGATGCATCATATTTGAAAAATCCTCATAATAACGTTTGAATGAAATAAGAAAATGTAGAATCGCATCATATTATAGACAGCTATGTAGCTTTTTTAATACTACCTGTGTATGTTTTATTGCATAAATATCGAGTATTCATAACATATTTTTCATTTACAGAGCAATTTTATCAGCATCTTACAGGCTTTCAAGTTTTCTTAGCTAACAAAACTGGACAAAATTTTTTTCATTTATTGGAGAAGGATACAAGAAAGTTAGTAGGAGACAAACATGTAATTACATTTGCAAGTACATTAACACGTTATATTAGGATTCAGAGAAGTGGCGTTCTGACGTTATGTGAAGTAACTGTGACTGAGGGAGGTAAATGTTATTATTGAAGCAAATGTTCAATTAAACATGTATAGCATGTCGTGGTTTGAAATATTGTTATCTTAACAAATCTCGATTACTGTTTTTTTGTCATTATAATTCTTAGTTGTTCATTCTCTCACAAGATCAAATACCAAGATAAAAATTATTTTATTTTTAAACTTGTATCTCGAATTTTCATATGCCCAGCATTTACCAATGACAATGTTTCTCGTGCAGCACACGGCATGTCAAGAAAGTCCAAATCAAAAGCAAATAGTTTATAATATAACAATATATCACATGTCACCTTCTTTAAATCAGTATTTAAACGTTATTACTTAGCTTCAATCGGGAAACTTTGTTCAAAAATTAGTTTTCCCTAGCTTTTGGTTAATTCAGTCAGATCAGACAGACTATAATATTCATTCTCTAATCATTCAGGGTATATGTTACTTAACTAATCTTAACAAATACTCACAGATAATTCTGTTTCATAGAATGTCAAATTGGAACTTTTGGTGAGGAATGTTTACGATCTTGTCATTGTGCAGATGAACGTGCATGTCATAAATATATTGGATATTGTCAATCAGAGGTGTGTAAGTCTGGTTGGACAGGTCGAGCGTGCAACCGGGGTAAGCTGTCTTTTAAGGCTGATTTATATATTTAAGTTGTTTAGACATTTTATCATGTAGTCTTTAAAGTTCCAAAATGCCTTGTATTCAAAGAAATATGATTCTCGAATTTCTACCAGTTAACATTTTAGGATCTTATATTTGATATTTGTACACTTTTACCTACAACAAAATAATTGCTGTATTAAAAATACCACTTAAGTATTAAAAATATCACAAAACATTTGGAAAAGAACAGTAGAACCTTTAGAAAAATATTCATCACCAATCTAATGATATGGGGAATTAACATTGTTTCTGTCTTTATCTATTTTGTAATGTTTTAAACCTTTTAAGCTCAACTTGTTTCTCCTTCTTTTTTCTAAAAAAGAGAGGTATTGTTAAAGTTATGTCGGCGTTGCCGTTGCCGTCCGCAAACGTGTGCCTTCATCATTACTTTTTATTTGTGTATTCATACTTTGCCACAATGACTCTTTGGACAAGACCTTTAAGTAAAGTAAACTAACTTTGACTTTCATCCATAAATGACCTTGTCCTACGCCAATGTCTTAATTTTACTATTTTTTATCTATAAGTGGCCCTAGGCCAATGTCTAAATTTGACTTTTTTTCTATTAGTGGCTTTAACTTATATGTATGTTATTTTCGAATGGATTGTCTTCAAACTTGAACATTATCAATTTTTTGGGTTGACCTTTAAATTATTCACTGATAATTGACTTTGATCTTAAAGGTCAAATTATTGAAAAAAAATCTGCTGTAACTGGCTATAACTTTGTTATTATTGAATGGATTGATTTCATCTAATAACGACAAAATTCTTTAGGATAAGACTTTTACGTATAATAAACTCAAATTTACCTTGGCTCTTTTATGACATTGACCTTGAAGGTTTAGATTATTGAATTGTCACATATTTTTTGCTATCATTGACTTCAACCTGTTAATTAATAAATGGATTATCTTCATACTTTGACAATAATATATTTTAAACGGACCTTCTTAAAGGCTGGACTGACATTGACGTTGATGTTTAAATGACCTAGACCGTCAAGGTCAAATCATTGAATTTCGGTTTAATTTTCAAAATGTTATTATTTATATAAGGATTTAATTGAACCTTGGATAAAACAAGGCTAGCTACCAAACAAACATTGAATTATTCAGATGTGACCTTGACCTTAAATTGACCTTGACTGTCAAGTTCAAATTAATAAAAATCTCTTGCACGGATTTTTTTCTTTCTATGAAATAACCATAGCTGTATGGTGTGTCGCGAACAAGACTCGGGTTTCTACCGCTAAGGTCAAGTTCACTGTCGGGTTCAAACTTTTGACATTTTTATATTATATAAATATAGATGGTAGCGGTCGTGTCTGCTCTAAAACTTCAGTATGCATAAAAGGGTTTTAATTTTCTTTTACATATGAAATAACCATAGATATATGGTGTGTCGCGAACAAGACTCGGGTTTCTACGAGTTAGGTCAAGGTCACTGTAGAGTTCAAACTTTGACATTTTTATGTTATAAAATATAGAAGGTGGAGGTTGTGTCCGCTCTGAAACTTCAGTATTCATGAAAGGATTGTAATTTTTCTTTCACATGTTAATTAACCATAGATGTATGATGTGTCCCAAACAAGAATTAGGTTTCTACGACTAAGGTCAAGGTCACTGTGGGGGTTCAAACTTTGTCATTTTTTTGTTATATAATTATAGAAGAGGGTGGTTATTTCCGCTCTATAAACTTCAACATGCATGGAAGGATTTTAATTTTTCTTTCATATATGAAATATCCATAGGTGTATTGTGTGTGGCGAATAAGACTCGGGTTTCTACAAGTCAAGGTCACTCTGGGCGTACAAACTGTGTCCTTTTTTATGTTATCTAAATATAGATGGTGGTGGTCGCGTTCGCTCAGAAACTTCAGTATGCTTGAAAGGATTTTAATTTTTCTTTCACATATGAAATTATCATAGATGTATGGTGTCTCGCGAATAAGACCTGGGATTCTTTGACTAAGGCTAAGGTTACTCTGGGGGTTCAAACTTTATCATTTTAAATTTTTATTTTATATAAATATAGAAGGTGGTGGTCAGGTCGGCTCTGAAACTTGGGTATGCATGAAAGGATTTTTGTTCCCCGCCTTTTCGAAGAAAAAAAGGGGGATATAGAAATAGGCTCCGTGTCCGAGCAAACATTTTGGGTTTAGGGGCTATATAACAGTAAAGAGAACAATAGGTTCATTCCGTGATCATAAAATAGCCCCTAATAGTGCTGCAAATTCATAGGGTAAAATGACACCGAAGTGGTCTATGTCAGCCAACAGCAAGTTTTATATACCAAATTGTTCGTCTTGGTCTGTAGTTTCCGGAATGAATATTCATTTGGTTCAAGTTCGATGCGTAGCTTAAAAATCCAAGATGGCGTCAAAGATGGCCGCCAAATCCCTAAATATTCTAGAATATTAATATTTGCTCATATTTGTTTCCGCTTTTGTATTTTAAGTGAAATTTTTGCACGAAAGATATCATTTAAAGCGTTTTATACGAAGAGATTTAATTTTATTGGAGAAAACAGATTGCTTTTTGCATTTTTTATACGTAATTTATCAAAATAATGCTAAACATATGGGTTTTTGCTATGATACTCTTGTCTTAGCTTTAACAGAGAAATATTTATTACTTATTTTGTTATTCCACCATTGTAATGTACTCATGAGAGTAATGCTTTAATGCATTCATATCATATCTTAAGAAATCTTTCTTTGTAATTATGCAGTAAGACATATAAAGTGAGAGGCGGTACATTAAAATAGTTTTCCAATGTAAGGTTGTAACTGGTACTTATTTTTTCTATCAATTATTTCCCGAAATTTTGTGTTTCTGTCAAATTATAGCTTCTTTAGTGCAGTCCATGTAACTAATTAACATAATAAACCAGGAATATGAAATTTTGCTTCTAGTTATTTAATGAATTATTGTTCAAATCGTACCCCAACCACTATGAATAAAAATCTAAAGAAACTCTGACCCCTCGATTATACTGATTATATAGAATGCCAATATTTACGTAAGTTAATAAACATAAGGTGATTTTCAAAGTGTGATACTATTACAGGTATCCTGTCAGATCTAAAAATCTGTTCAAAAATGAGTTACCAATTTAATAACATGATTTTGTTGTAAGTTCACCTAAGGATTTGAAAAGTACAATGTATGCAAAACAACCTCTGCTAATTTATTTATATGTTACACACCTTTTTATGTCAAATGAAATGTAATTCATTTTTTAAAGTTTCTTAAATTGACAAAATAGTCATTTAAAAAGTTTGATATTTTATCTACATAGATCATTACTCTGTTGACCTTCAGTTTCATGAAACATGCATAGTAGTCGGATAAAACATAATGATTATATGAAAATCGTTCAGCTTGACATTATAACTGTGTTTGTGTTATTTTAATTCCTTCTATTTGACCTTTTTCGAGTTGTGTGGTGCTAGTATTTCTTTTTAAAAAGTGTATAATAACCCTTTGGATATATTACCTGCTTTTAAAGATTATATTTTGACCTTTGATCCCGTTTTATAAATTCATTTTATTTAGTTTCGCCCATTGTTCTCTATTTCTTGTGGACAATATGATTGCACGAACATTTTACATTGAAGATACCATGATCACTTTCGTATGAATACATCTATGGACGTGTCTTCACTTCTTTTAAACGTGTACCATATGTAAAATTGAGAATTCTGCTCAAGACGGTGCTAAAGGGTGTGGATGGTAGGTAACTTGCAATTACCACTACCGGTATGTTCCTATTTTCCTCATGAACGGCACTGTCAAGTGCAAACTACAGTACACGCCCCCTAGCACCGAATTAAGCAGAATTCAACATTTAATCATGGTTATGGTGAACTTTTGGATTTAGAAACAACCGCAGACGCGCTTATAATGTGGTTATCATGGAACCTTCAATGTGACACGTTAGTGTTATTCCATAACAAGCGGCGTATGGTCACCAAGTACAAGAATTAGTGTGCCCTAAACAAGAAAACAATGAGCGGAACGAAATAAAATGGAATTTTGAAAGGGGATCAGAGCCTGCATGCCACAGATAAGCTGTCATCTCCACATAAATCAGGCCTGCTTAAAACTAGACGTAAAAAAATAAAATAGAGAAAAACAGAATCCCTAAACAATGTCCAACACAACAAAATTGAAAATGCTGCAGTCTCGGTTTGATTGAGCCTGTTCATGGACGGTACTGGAAAGTGCAAGTTACTGTCCACGCCCCCTGGCACCGGCTTAAGCAGAATTCAACATTTAAAATGTGTAAAAGGTTAAATTTGGAATTTAGAAACATCTGCAGACGTGTTCATACGGCGGTTATCATGGAACCTTCAATGTGACACAGTAGTGCCATTCCATGAAAAGCGGCGTATGGTCCCCAAGTAAAATAATGCTATTGCCCTAAACGAGAAAAAAATGGGCGTAACTAAATAAAATGGAATTTTGACAGGGGTTCTGAGGTTATAAAGCCCGCATATCACAGATAAGACGTCAAAAGACTAATTTAAAAAGCAGGCAACAAATCATATCTAAAGGTGATTATACAGTACTGGAACTACCCAAGTTGGAAAAGGCCAAATATATGAAAAACAAGATCAACAAGGAAAGGCGGCGTTCAAAAAACTGAAAAAACTGAAAGTACCACACAACATGTATACACAGCAATAATGTCGTGCTGAACGATCTTCAAGGATTTAAAATACAATTAATTTTTATATATTATCTGAATTACGACGACAGGACTTTGTAAAATATTTACGTAATTTATGATCGCCTTGTTAAAGAAGTTTGCCAGTAATAAATAAATTGCGTTCATTAGAATCATCCACACGACAGCATGACCAGGCAACTCTAATTAACTTAGAAATATATATACCCAATATGATGTTGCATGAAGTACAACAACGTTTTTTTTAAAAAAAAAAAC